TCATAAGCACACTGCCCAGGTATGGGAAACTCTCCACTCTCTCCACAACTGCCCCATCACCGATTGGGAGTTGTGGGGGTGGAGTGTCCGATGGTACAAAATACCCAGGCAGGTGCTTAGTTTTGGTGGGGCTGATGGTAAGGCCCCACCTCTTAGTGGCATGCTCCAGTCTCAGCAGCAGCGTCTCCAACTCCTCCTCTGACTGAGCAGCTATTACCAAGTCATCAGCATACATAACGTGGTTGAGCAATAGGGAGCCATCCCTTGACCGCACCCGGGCATCGATTAGCCTCCCATTATATCTGTACCATATGGAGATTCCCCCGGTACAGCTATTGAAGGCTTCACGAACTACGTGGTCAAAATAGATGTTAAATAATGTGGGAGCCAAAGGACATCCCTGTCGCACCCCAAGGTGTACAGGGAATGGCTCTGACTCCCGGCCACGTAGTTTTACCCGGGCCCGCTCACCATCATGAAGGTCCTTAATGATCGTGAGCAGAGGGTCAGGTACTCCAAAAGCACGAAGAACGACCCAGAGCCCAGGCCTACTGATGGTATCATAGGCCTTGACCAGGTCAATAAAGCAGAGATGTAGGTCTTGTTGGAATTCCCTACACCTCTGCTGTAGCAGACGGACAGAAAATATGGCATCTGTGCAGGACCGCCCTTTCCTGAAACCGCATTGGGGCTCCGCAAGCCTCTCCTCAGCGTGCCTGGCAAGGCGATGCTGAATAATCCTTGCCAGGACCTTTCCCTTGCCGGACTACACACACAGACACACACACACAGACACACACAGACAGACACACACAGACACATAGACACACACACAGACACACACACACAGACACACAACAACAACCGCCATTCGCCACTAAGTGGTGGTGACGTCACCACGACGCTTGTGCCAGGCTATGTGCACCCTAAGGCCACGTGAAGTGTGGAACGCCCGCTGGCAGGAGGTCACGGGGCAGACCCAGGTGCCACGGGTCGACTGACTGAGATGACAGGCTGATGCACCACCTGTGCCCCCTACTGTGCCAACCCGCTGTGCTTCAGCCACCCGGCGCTCCACTCGTTGTTCTGAGCGTCGCTCCTCCGCCCTCCGTTGTTGTTGGAGGGCGACTACCTCCAACTGCCCAGTAGTGTCCTTCACGAGCCTCCTCCACAGAGGTCCATCTTGACACCGCTGGTACCAGTCATCGGAAAGTCCACTCAGCTCCAAGTCCTCCTGTACCACATCACTCCATCTCTTCTCTAGCCCATGCCGCGCCCGCTTAGCCCCCTCAATCCGGCCGAACAAAAGCTGTTTCGGCATGCGGTGGCTAGGCATGCGGGCTACATGACCCAGCCATCGCAGCCTTCCCCGCCGGAGGAGCTCACCGATGGGACCTTGCACAGATCTTTCAAGGATTTGTGAGCTCCTCACACAATCCAGTCTGGTTAAACCCAGGATGGATCGTAGGCAGGCCAGCCTAAATGTTTCTAACCGGCGAAGATGTTCCATTAGGGGGTCCACGTTTCGCAAGCGTAGAGAAGGGAGGGAATGCCCGTGGCCGAGAAGACCTGAAGCATAGTGCGGAGCGACAGACCAGGTAGCTTTCACACAGCGTTACGCAAACGATGAAAAGATATTGCCGCTCGACTGATTCGGAGTGAGACCTCTGCTGTTAAACCGGAGCCGGTTATGAGCACACTGCCCAGGTATGGGAAACTCTCCACTGTTTCCACAACTGCCCCATCACCAATTGGGAGTTGTGGGGGTGGAGTGTCCGATGGTACAAAATACCCAGGAAGGTGCTTAGTTTTGGTGGGGCTGATGGTAAGGCGCCACCTCTTAGTGGCACGCTCCAGTCTCAGCAGCAGCGTCTCCAACTCCTCCTCTGAATGAACAGCTATTACCGAATCATCAGCATACATAACGTGGTTGAGCAATAGGGAGCCATCCCTTGACCGCACCCGGGCATCGATCAGCCTCCCATTATATCTGTACCATATGGAGATTCCCCCGGTACAGCTATTGAAGGCTTCACGAACTACGTGATCAAAATAGATGTTAAATAATGTGGGAGCCAGAGGACATCCCTGTCGCACCCCAAGGTGTACAGGGAATGGCTCTGACTCCCGGCCACGTAGTTTTACCCGGGCCCGCTCACCATCATGAAGGTCCTTAATGATCTTGAGCAGAGGGTCAGGTACTCCAAAAGCACGAAAAACGACCCAGAGCCCAGGCCTACTGATGGTATCATAGGCCTTAACCAGATCAATAAAGCAGAGATGTAGGTCTTGTTGGAATTCCCTACACCTCTGCTGTAGCAGACGGACAGAAAATATGGCATCTGTGCAGTACCACCCTTTCCTGAAACCGCATTGGGGCTCCGCAAGCCTCTCCTCAGCGTGCCTGGAAAGGCGATGCTGAATAATCCTTGCCAGGACCTTTCCCGGCACACTGAGGAGTGAGATGCCCCTGTAGTTGTTACAGTCTGTGCGGTCCCCCTTCTTAAAAAGGGGGACCACCAGGGCATCCTTCCAATCCTGCGGAACCCGTCCAGTGATCCAGACTGTTGTTATGATGTCATATCGGGCAGTCTGTGCACAAACTCCACCCTCCCTAAGCATTTCGCTTGGGAGATCATCTCTGCCCGCTGCCTTTCCTGGTCTGACTCCGGATCGCCCTCAGTACTTCCTCAACAGATGGCACTTCAGCCAGCCACTCACAGGGGGTGACTTCTTCCAATATTTGAGGCACCGCAGCCTCAGCAGGGTCATCCTCACTTTGTGCCACGATGTTTTCCTGGCTGAGGGATTTTTCCTCCGCCAGGACCTCACAGAAATGCTCAGCAAATCTGCAAACCTGTTCCAGGGGGTCAGAGATTGGATCACCATTTTTTCCCCTAATGATGGTAATAGGCGTGGCACTGCAGGTTACTTTTTTGATAGAGTTAAATAGAGATTTGTGATCGCGGGCCACCGAGGCAGACTCCATCTCCTCAGCAACCCGCGACCACCACCCACCCTTGCAGCGCCTCACGGCTCTCCGAACCTCCGAGCGAAGGCTGCGGTAAGCCTCCTCATTCTCTGACGTGGGATTCTGTAGCCGATGACAGTGGGCCTGTCGCTTTTTCTCAACCATCCTGAACACCTGCTCTGTCAGCCAGGGTCTCTGGGGAGGTCCTGACCGCGTACCCAAAGCAGACATTGCAGCCGCATGAGTCACAGTTCTAAACCTCGCCCATTTACCCTCGACATCAGGAGGAGTGGGGAACGATGCCAACCCCAGCCACAGGCGATGATGAAATTCTCGCTTGCAACTTTCATCAGATAACCGAGACCAGGCCACTTTTGGTTGGAATGGGGTCCTGGGTGTACACCCACCACCGGAGCGGAAGAATGGGCGGCGCATCTTACAGATGACAAGTCGATGGTCAGAGGGCAGATCAGCTCCACGGTAGGTCCTGGTGTCAAGGACATGGGCTCGCATCCGCTGGTCCGTCACTATGTAGTCCAGCAGATGTTCTTGCTTGGACCCGGCATGCATCCATGATGTTGTGTGGATGCGCCGATGCCGGAACAGCGTGTTGGTAATTACAAGTCCATGGGCTGCACAAAAATCTAGCAGCATCCTACCGTTGTTGTTGAGCTGATCTGGCCCATGCCCTCCAATCACTCCAGGCCACACATAGACACACATAGACACACACATAGACACACACATAGACACACACACACATAGACACACACACAGACACACACACATAGACACACAAACACACATAGACACACACACACACGCAGACAGACACACAGACATACACAGACACACATAGACACACACACGCACAGACAGACACACACAGACACACATAGACACACACAGACACACATAGACACACACACAGATGACACACACACATAGACACACAGACACACATAGACACACACACACGCACAGACACACATAGATACACATAGACACACAGACACACACATAGACACACAGACACACAGACACACAGACAGACACACACACGCACAGACACACATAGACACACACACAGACACACAGACACAAACACACACGCACAGACACACATAGACACACATAGACACACACACACGCACAGACACAAATAGACATACAGCCACACACATAGACACACAGATACACACATAGACACAAAGACACAGAGACACACACAGACACACAAAGAAGACCAAAGAACCCCCATGTAGCCTTAACAGACTGTAGGGGCAAGTGCTGTTAGTGAGCACCTATAAAGGCCGGAACGGTACACGAGGGGGTGGATGGCACCACGACCGACCGCCATTGTCTCCCTAGTGGCAATGTTTACACACCGCACCAGGTACTCATTTCAGGCTGAGTCGACATAGGGGAGGCCCAGGACCGGTTCAGATAATTGTCAGTGGTGTTGGCCAGGAGCGGGAATCGAACCCGGGTCGCCAGGTTCATAGCGCAGCGCGCTAACCGCTACACTACCACTCCCCACATAGACACACAGACACACATAGACACACACAAAAACACAGACACACATAGACACACAAAGATAACAAAGATCCCCCATATAGCCTTAACAGACTGTAGGGGCAAGTGCTATTAGCGAGCACCTATGAAGGCCGAAACGGTACACGAGGGGGTGGGTGGCCAGCACCACGCCCGACCGCCTTTGTCTCCCTAGTGGCAATGTTTACAAACCGCACCAGGTACTCATTTGAGGCTGAGTCGACCTAGGGGAGGCCCGGAACCGGTTCAGATAATCGTCACTGGTGTTGGCCGTGAGCGGGAATCGAACCCGGGTCGCCAGGTTCATAGCGCAGCGCGCTAACCGCTACACTACCGCTCCCCACGACATAGACACACACACACACAGACACACACAGACACACACACGGAGACACACACAAACTATGCTGTGTTTAGTCCGTGCCGTGTGTACTCCGTGCCGTGTGTACTCGGTGTCGTGTGTACTCGGTACCCTGCTGTCCCCCAGGTTGGCCACGTAGGCGACGTTGTCGACGATTAGAGCACAGATGGCCGTCGTGCCGTCCTTCCACACCGGCTTCCTGCGGGCAGAAAACGCAACAAGAACAACAACGGAACGTCACCTCCATGCACGCACACGCACGCACGCGCACAAACACAATCTTAAACACGCTCACACACTCACACACACTCACAGACACACACACACTCACACACACAAACAATCTTAAACACGCTCACACACTCACACAGGAAGTCTCACTCTCTCTCACAGACACCCTCACGCTCACACACACACTCACACACACACTCACAGACACCCTCACACTCTCACACACACTCACAGACACGCACGCATGCGCATGCACACAAACAATCTTAAACACGCTCACACACTCACACAGGAAGTCTCACTCTCTCTCACAGACACCCTCACTCACACACTCTCTCACACTCTCTCTCACACTCTCTCTCACACTCTCTCACACACACTCACACACACACTCACACACTCTCACACTCTCTCACACACACTCACACACACACTCACACACTCACACTCACACACTCTCTCACACTCACACACACACTCACACAAGCACACTCACACACGCACACACTCACACTCACACACGCACACTCTCTCACACACACACTCACACACGCTCACACGGAGACTCACTGGCTGGATGCCAGCTTGAGGAAAGCGGCGTCCGTCTGCTTGAATGCATCCCTGAGGCTCCTCCGGATCTCCTTGTCCAGGTCGGACACCGCTCCTGCAACTCAGCAAGAGACCCACAGAGACACAGCGAGATCCATAGAGACACACAGAGACACAGCGAGATCCATAGAGACACACAGAGACACAGAGACATACAAAGACACATAGAGACACAGCGAGATCCACAGCGGCACATAGAGACACATAGAGACACACAGAGACACTGCGAGATCCATAGAGACACACAGAGAAACAGCGAGATCCATAGAGACACACAGAGACACATAGAGACACACAGACACACATAGAGACACAGCGAGCTCCATAGACACACAGAGACACATAGAGACATACAGAGACACATAGAGACACAGCGAGATCCACAGAGACACATAGAGATACATAGAGACACACAGAGACACAGCGAGATCCATAGAGACACACAGAGAAACAGCGAGATCCATAGAGACACACAGAGACACATAGAGACACACAGAGACACATAGAGACACAGCGAGATCCATAGAGACACATAGAGACACACAGAGACACATAGAGACCCACAGAGACACATAGAGACACATAGATACCCACAGAGACCCACAGAGACACATAGAGACACATAGAGACCCACAGAGACACATAGAGACCCACAGAGACACATAGAGACCCACAGAGACATATAGAGACCCACAGAGACACACAGAGACACATAGAGACCCACAGAGACACATCACATAGAGACCCACAGACACAGCGAGATCCATAGAGACCCACAGAGACACATACAGACCCACAGAGACATCATATAGAGACCGACAGAGACACAGCGAGATCCATAGAGACCCACAGAGACACATAGAGACCCACAGAGACACATAGAGACCCACAGAGACACAGCGAGATCCATAAAGACCCTAGAGACGCAGCGAGATCCATAGAGACCCACAGAGACCCACAGAGACAGAGCGGGATCCATAGAGACCCACAAAGACTCAGCAAGATCCAGACACCCACAGAGACCCAGCGAGATCGATAGACACCCACAGAGACCCATAGAGACCTACAGAGATGCATAGAGACCCATAGATAAACATAGAGACCCATAGAGATGCATAGAGACACAGAGATACACAGAGATACATAGATACATAGAGAGATGCATAGAGACCTACAGAGACCCAAAGAAACCCATAGATAAACATAGAGACGCATAGAGACACAGAGATACACAGAGAAACATAGAGACCCATAGAGATGCACAGAGACCCATAGAGACCTACAGAGACCCATAGAGACCTACAGAGACCCATAGAGACCCATAGATAAGGATAGAGACCCATAGAGACCCATAGAGACACAGAGATACACAGAGATACATAGAGATGCATAGAGACCCATAGAGACACAGAGATTCACGGAGATACATTGAGACCCATAGAAATGCATAGAGACCCATAGAGACCTACAGAGAACCATAGAGACCCATAGCTAAACATAGAGATACATAGAGACGCACAGAGACACAGAGATACACAGAGATACATAGAGACTCTAAACACGTGGTGGACAGTGATTCTAAATGTGGAGGGAAAAACCGGAGGACCCGGAGACAAAATCCACAGAGAGAGACGCAGACTCCAAATCTTCAGCAGCAGCAGCAGCATCGTCAGGGTCGGGATAGAACACACGACCTCCTGTAGACCTGGCGAGGTAGTCAACATCTCCTAGCCACCGTTATGATGATGAGAGAGAGAGACGCAGACTCCAAATTTACAGCAGCAGCAGCAGCATCGTCAGGAACTGGGATCGAACCCACGACCTCCTGTAGACCTGGCGAGGTAGTCAACATCTCCCTAGCCACCGTGATGATGATGAGAGAGAGACGCAGACTCCAAATCTACAGCAACAGCAGCATCGTCAGGGTCTGGATCGAACCCACGACCTCCTGTAGACCAGGCGAGGTAGTTAACATCTCCCTAGCCACCGTGATGATGATGAGAGAGAGAGAGAGACGCAGACTCCAAATATATAGCAGCAGCAGCAGGCATAGTCAGGGTCGGGATAGAACCCACGACCTCCTGTAGACCAGGCGAGGTAGTTAACATCTCCCTAGCCACCGTGATGATGATGATGAGAGAGACGCAGACTCCAAATTTACAGCAGCAGCAGCAGCAGCATCGTCAGGAACTGGGATCGAAACCACGACCTCCTGTAGACCTGGCGAGGTAGTCAACATCTCCCTAGCCACCGTGATGATGATGAGAGAGAGACGCAGACTCCAAATCTACAGCAACAGCAGCATCGTCAGGGTCTGGATCGAACCCACGACCTCCTGTAGACCAGGCGAGGTAGTTAACATCTCCCTAGCCACCGTGATGATGATGAGAGAGAGAGAGAGACGCAGACTCCAAATATATAGCAGCAGCAGCAGGCATAGTCAGGGTCGGGATAGAACCCACGACCTCCTGTAGACCAGGCGAGGTAGTTAACATCTCCCTAGCCACCGTGATGATGATGATGAGAGAGACGCAGACTCCAAATATACAGCAGCAGCAGGCATCGTCAGGCTCTGGGATTGAAACCACGGCCTCCTGTAGACCAGGCGAGGTAGTTAACATCTCCCTAGCCACCGTGATTATGATGATGAGACGCAGACTCCAAATATACAGCAGCAGCAGGCATCGTTAGGCTCTGGGATCGAATCCACGACCTCCTGCAGACCAAGCGAGGTAGTTAACATCTCCCTAGCCACCGTGATGATAATGAGAGAGAGACGCAGACTCCAAATATACAGCAGCAGCAGGCATTGCCAGGGTCGGGATTGAACCCACGACCTCCTGTAGACCAGGCGAGGTAGTCAACATCTCCCTAGCCACCGTGATGATGATGAGAGAGTGACGCAGACTCCAAATATACAGCAGCAGCAGGCATCGTAAGACTCTGGGATCGAACCCATGACCTCCTGTAGACCATGTGAGGTAGTTAACATCTCCTGGCCACTGTGTTGATGATTATTCGTATTCGTATTATTCTTAATATTATTCTTACTATTTTTTTTCGTATTATTCTTAGAATTATTATATTCTTAATATTATTTTACTAATTATTTTTATTATTCTTATTATCTTTGTTTTTTTATTATTATTTTTATTCCGTAGTGGCCGTGCGTGGGCCTCACCCTGGGGCAGGCACAGCAGCAGCTGCTGGTGGAGGTGACGGGCGGCGAAGGAGGAGGCACGGGAGCCGCCGTGGCCGTCAAAGACGGCGAAGTAGGCGAGGCGTGAGCTGGGACGGGGGCGGCGTGGGCAGCGTCGTCATCGTCATCATCGTCATCATCATCGTTATCATCGTCATCATCGTTATCATCATCGTCATCATCATCGTCGTCATCGTCATCATCGTCATCACGTACATCATCGTCATCATCATTGTTATCATGTACATCATCGTCGTCATCGTCATCATCGTCGTCATCATCGTCGTCATCATCGTCATCATCGTCATCATCGTCGTCATCGCTATCATCGTCGTCATTGTCATCGTCGTCATCATCGTCATCATCGTCATCGTCGTCATCATCATCATCGTCAGCATCGTTATCGTCATCATCATCATCGTCGTCGTCATCGTCATCATCATTGTTGTCATCGTTATTATCGTCATCATCGTCATCATCGTCGTCGTCAGCATAATCGTCGTCACCATCATCATCGTCGGCATCCTCGTCGGCATCATCATCGTCATCATCATCATCGTCATCATCATCATCGTCATCATCATCGTCATCGTCGTCATCGTCATCGTCGTCAGCATCATCATCGTCATCATCATCGTCGTCGTCATCGTCATCATCATCGTCATCATCGTCATCATCATCATCGTCATCATCATCATCGTCATCAATCATCACTATACTATACACTGCTATACACTGCATTACTACCCACTACACTACACTATACACTACACTACACACTACACTCTACACTACACTCCACTACACTATACACTCCACTATACACTACACACTCCACTACTACACACTACACTACACACTACACTATACATTACACTACACTACACACTACATTACACTACACACTACACTACTACACACTACACTACACACTATACACTACACAACACTACACACTACACTACACACTACTACACACCACTACTACACACTACACTACACACTACACTATACATTACACTACACTACACACTACATTACACTACACACTACACTACTACACACTACACTACACACTATACACTACACACTCCACTACTACACACTACACTACACACTACACTATACATTACACTACACTACACACTACACTATACATTACACTACACACTACACTATACATTACACTACACTACACACTATACACTACACAACACTACACACTACTACACACCACTACTACACACTACACTACACACTCCACTACTACACTATACACTACACACTACACTATGTACTACACTATACACTACTTTACACTACACACTACACTACTCTCACACTCCGCGGGGCAGTCGCTCCGTGAGAGATGGGATGACCGTGTGGGCGTCCTGCATCTCGTCGCGTTCGCCCCTCCGCTCCGACACGAAGGCTCGCAGCTCCAGCAGGGCCGGCTCTGCTGGGGGGGTGGTGGGGTCGGTGGGGGGTTGGGTAGGGTGGGTGGGGTGGTGGTGGGGTCAACACTATACACTACACACAACTTATACACTACTCTATACACTAAACTATACTACTATACACTACACACGACTTATACACTACCCTATACACTACACACGACTTATACACTACCCTATACACTACACAATACACTATACTACTATACACTACATCATACACTACACACGACTTATACACTACCCTATATACTACACTACACAATACACTATATACACTACACACCTATACACAACACTATACACTACACACAACTTATACACTACTCTATACACTACACTATACTACTATACACTACACACGACTTATACACTACCCTATACACTACACAATACACTATACTACTATACACTACATCATACACTACACACGACTTATACACTACCCTATACACTACACAATACACTATACTACTATACACTACATCATACACTACACACGACTTATACACTACCCTATATACTACACTACACAATACACCACTAGACTACAATACTATACACTACACACCTATACACTACACTATACACTACTATACACTACACTACTATACACTACACGACTATACACTACACTACTATACACTACACTACTATACACTACACGACTATACACTACACTACTATACACTACACTATACACTACTATACACTACACTACTATACACTACACTACTATTCACTATACGTGACACACTACGCAATATACTACACTACACTATACACTACACGACTATACACTACACTACACTTTACACAACTCTATAGACTAACACACCAAACTGCGACTGCACACTACACCACACACACACGTACCTGTGTGGGGTTCGGGCTCGTCATGATCGTCAGCGTTGGGCTCCGCTTTCCTCTTCGCTCCGCGCTGATCTTCCCGGGGTTCCGCGTCTTCGGCGGCGGGCGGTTCCTTAGCCCCCTCTAGCCCACCCAGGCAGAGACATCGTTAGCGTCACCTGATACTAAACACTGCACTATAAACTACACTATAAACTACACTACTATACACTACACAATACACTACACTATACACGACTATACACTATACTATACACTACACTATACACTACACACTACTATACACTACACATTACACTACACTATACACTACTATACACTACACTACACACTGCACTATACACTACACTATAAACTACACTACTATACACTACACTACTACTACACTATATACTACACTATACACTACACTATACTACTATACACTACACTACTACTACACTATACACTACACTAAACACTACACTATACACTACACTACTATATACTACACTATACACTACACTATACTACTAAACACTACACTATACTAAACAATACACTATACATTAAACTATACATTACACTATACACTACACTACCATAGACTATAAACTATACTTTCCACTACACTATACACACAATCCACTACACTATACACTACTATACACTACACTATACACTATTATACACTACACTACTAAACACTACACTATACACTACTATACACTACACTACTATACACTGCACTATACACTACACTATACATTACACTACTATACACTATACTAAACACTACACTATACACTACACTAAACACTCCACTATACACTACACTATACACTACACAATACTACACTATACACTACACTACCATTGACTATACAATATACTATACATTAAACTATACATTACACTATACACTACACGATACACTACACTACCATAGACTATAAACTACACTTTCCACTACACTATACACACAATCCACTACACTATACAGTACTATACACTACACTATACACTACTATACACTACACTATACACTACTATACACTACACTATACACTACTATATAAGTGTAAATGCTGCAGTGGGCTGTTGCTCTCCAACACACCGGTCTAGTGCTGTACAAGTAACGAGTTGGCACCGGAGCTCGATTCCCTCGTCCCCTAGGTCGACTCAGCCTCAAATGAGGTGGTGGTGGTGTCGTGGTGTTGATGTATGGTGGTGGTGTAGTGGTGGTGGTGGTGATGTATGGTGGTGGTGTAGTGGTGGTGGTGTAGTGGTGGTGTAGTAGTGGTGGTGTAGTAGTGGTGGTGTAGTGGTGGTGGTGTAGTGGTGATGTAGTGGTGGTGTAGTGGTGGTGGTGTAGTGGTGATGTAGTGGTGGTGGTGTAGTGGTGTGGTGGTGGTGTAGCGGTGGTGGTGTAGCGGTGGTGGTGTAGTGGTGGTGCAGCGGTGGTGGTGTAGTGGTGGTGGTGTAGTGGTGGTTCAGTAATGGTGGTGTAGTGGTGGTGGTGTAGTGGTGATGTAGTGGTGGTGGTGGAGTGGTGGTGGTGTAGTGGTGTGGTGGTGGTGTAGCGGTGGTGGTGTAGCGGTGGTGGTGGTGGTGGTGCAGCGGTGGTGGTGTAGTAGTGGTGGTGTAGTAGTGGTGGTGTAGTGGTGGTGGTGTAGTGGTGATGTAGTGGTGGTGGTGTAGTGGTGGTGGTGTAGTGGTGATGTAGTGGTGGTGGTGTAGTGGTGTGGTGGTGGTGTAGCGGTGGTGGTGGTGTAGTGGTGGTGGTGTAGTGGTGGTGCAGCGGTGGTGGTGTAGTGGTGGTGGTGTAGTGAACATCGCTAGCACTGGGGGAGAGACAAAGGCGGCCGGGCGTGGTGGTGTTGCTGGTCACCCACCCCCTCTGTGTGTGTAGCCACAGTGCCGGTAGCCTTCATAGGTGATGCTGCTACTCGCTACTAGCAGCACTTGCCCCTACAGCCTGCTAGAGGCTACCTGGGGGAGCTTTGTCTTTGTGTCTGTCTATGTGTCTGTGTGTGTGTCTGTCTATCTGTGTGTGTGTCTGTGTCTGTCTGTGTATCTGTGTGTGTCTCAGTGTGTCTGTGTGTGTGTCTGTCTGTGTATCTGTGTGTGTCAGTGTGTCTGTGTGTGTCTGTGTGTGTCAGTGTCTGTGAGTGTGTCTGTCTGTGTGTCTGTCTTTGTGTCTGTGTCTGTCTATGTGTCTGTGTGTGTGTCTGTGTCTGTCAGTGTGTCTGTCTGTGTCTTTGTGTCTGTGTCTTTGTGTCTGTGTGTGTGTCTGTCTGTGTATCTGTGTGTGTGTCAGTGTGTCTGTGTGTGTCTGTGTGTGTCAGTGTCTGTGAGTGTGTCTGTCTGTGTGTCTGTCTTTGTGTCTGTGTCTGTCTATGTGTCTGTGTGTGTGTGTCTGTGTCTGTCAGTGTGTCTGTCTGTGTCTTTGTGTCTGTGTCTTTGTGTCTGTGTGTGTGTCTGTGTGTCCGTGTCTTTGTGTCTGTGTGTCTGTCTGTCTTTGTGTCGGTGTGTGTCTGTGTGTCTGTCCGTGTGTCTGTGTATGTCTGTGTGTGTCTGTCTGTGTGTGTCTGTCTGTGTGTCAGTGTATGTGTGTATGTCTGTTTGTCTGTGTGTCTGTCTGTGTCTTTGTGTCTGTGTCTGTGTGTCTGTCTGTGTCTTTGTGTTTGTGTGTGTCTGTGTATCTGTGTGAGTGTCTGTGTGTCAGTGTCTGTGAGTGTGTCTTTGTGTCTAGTGTGTGTCTGTGTGTGTGTCTATTGTGGATATTGGTCGCGAAAGTCTCCTACTACGTGTTAAATCAACGCTAAATCGACGATAATTGACGTTAAATTAACGTTAAATCGACGTTAAATTAACGTTAAATCGATGATAAATTGACGTTAAATTAACGTTAAATATCGACGTTAAGCCTTTTGGCGTTCTCTGTCGTACCGTAAGGCGCCGGCACTTAACAGTTTTATATAATACATATCTAAAATGGTATCGTGGAAAGGGGGAGTTAAACATATATATATTGTAATTTTAATAGTTTCACGATTTGCATTTTTTTGTTTTAACAAAAAAAATATTTAAAAAAAAGTAATGTGCTAGGCCGAAACCTTCGGCCTCGCCTGGCCACCTCGGGCGGGCAGTGGAGTCACTGGACCCCGGCCGGGGGGTTCTATCCGAGCACGGTGACCTCGAGCGCGAGGCCTAGTCAACTTGGCAAAATAATCTAAAATATTTCTTCGTTGTCGTCGTTTCCTTGCGATAACTGCACCTCACAGTCATCAAAGTTACCAACAAAAAAACCCACCGTGACTATTCGTTGTTAGCGTTATTGTTTAGAAAAAAATACAAATTATAACTGTACCTGCAGCTGGCTCTGGTAAGTCTCCGAACAGATCCATGCTTTGTATTCTTTATTTATTTTTGTTATTAGTCAGCTTAAAGGCGCCGGTTCCGGAATCGGGTTTGCACCGCGTTCGTTTTACACCCAGGGCGCTCTCTCTCTGAGACTCTTTCTGCCGCGTTCTAGAACTGGGTCCGGTGTAGTGGTGGGTCGGACCCGAATTCTGGTGCAGATCTCTGTTCCAACGTCCAATAAAGTCACTCACTCATCCACACATTCATTCATTCATCCACTCACTCATTAACCCACTCACTCATTCATTAACCCACTCATTTATTCATTCATAGGTTCTATTGGGTAAAGTCACGTAGGTGAAAATAAAATAACAAAAAATCACGACGTTTCGGCCACAACACAAGCGGCCTTCATCAGGTGAAGGGACGAGACTGTCTGGAGGACAGCGCTGGAGTGAGAAAAGCCACGCTTAGATCACAACCTTTAAACTGCGATCACAAGGCGCTTTGTTTCTTCTGACACAGCTTAAAGGTCGTGATCTAAGCGTGGCTTTTCTCACTCCAGCGCTGTCCTCCAGACAGTCCCTTCACCTGATGAAGGCCGCTTGTGTTGTGGCCGAAACGTCATGATTTTTTGTTATTTTATTTTCACCTACCTACGTGACTTTACCCAATAGAACCAAAGAGCTTTAAATCTAGAACACACATTCATTTATTCATCCACTCACTCACTCATTAATCCACTCACTCATTCATTAACCCACTCATTTATTCATTCATACACTCACTCATTCATCCACTCATTCATTCGTCCACTCATTCATCCACTCATTCATTCATTCATGCATCCACTCACTCAAACAAAGACAAAGATCCCCCGTTAACAGACTGTAGGGGCAAGTGCTGTTAGCGAGCACCTATGAAGGTCGGAACGGTACATGAAGGGGTGGGTGGCCAGCACCACGCCCGACCGCCTTTGTCTCCCCAGTGGCAATGTTTACACACCGCACCAGGTACTCATTTGAGGCCGAGTCGATCTAGGGGAGGTCCAGGACCGGTTCAGATAATCGTCACAGGTGTTGGCCGTGAGCGGGAATCGAACCCAGGTCGCCAGGTTCATAGCGCAGCGCGCTAACCGCTACACTACTCACTCATCCACTCACTCATCAAATCACTCATTCACTCACTCATCCACTTACTCGCTCATCCACTCACTCACTCATCCACTCACTCATCCACTCACTCATCCAATCACTCATTCACTCACTCATCCACTCACTCACCCACTCACTCATCCACTCACTCATTCACTCACTCATCCACTCACTCACTCATCCATTCACTCACTCATCCACTCACTCACTCATCCATTCACTCACTCATCCACTCACTCATTCACTCACTCATCCACTCATCCATTCACTCACTCATCCATTCACTCACTCATCCATTCACTCACTCATCCATTCACTCACTCATCCACTCACTCATCCAATCACTCATTCACTCACTCATCCACTTACTCGCTCATCCACTCACTCACTCATCCACTCACTCACTCATCCACTCACTCATCCAATCATCCATTCACTCACTCATCCACTCACTCACTCATTCACTCACTCATCCACTCATCCATTCACTCACTCACTCATCCACTCACTCATCCACTCACTCATCCAATCACTCATTCACTCACTCATCCACTTACCCGCTCATCCACTCACTCACTCATCCACTCACTCATCCAATCACTCATCCACTCACTCATCCACTCACTCATCCAATCACTCACTCATCCACTTACCCGCTCATCCACTCACTCACTCATCCACTCACTCATCCACTCACTCATCCAATCACTCATTCACTCACTCATCCACTCACTCACCCACTCACTCATCCACTCACTCATTCACTCACTCATCCACTCACTCACTCATCCATTCACTCACTCATCCACTCACTCACTCATCAATTCACTCACTCATCCACTCACTCATTCACTCACTCATCCATTCACTCACTCATCCATTCACTCACTCATCCACTCACTCATCCACTCACTCATCCAATCACTCATTCACTCACTCATCCACTTACTCGCTCATCCACTCACTCACTCATCCACTCATCCACTCACTCATCCAATCACTCATTCACTCACTCATCCACTTACTCGCTCATCCACTCACTCACTCATCCACTCATCCACTCACTCATCCAATCACTCATTCACTCACTCATCCACTTACTCGCTCATCCACTCACTCACTCATCCACTCATCCACTCACTCATCCAATCATCCATTCACTCACTCATCCACTCACTCACTCATTCACTCACTCATCCACTCATCCATTCACTCACTCATCCATTCACTCACTCATCCACTCACTCATCCAATCACTCATTTACTCACTCATCCACTTACCCGCTCATCCACTCACTCACTCATCCACTCACTCATCCAATCACTCATTCACTCACTCATCCATTCACTCATCCACTCACTCATCCACTTACTCATCCACTCACTCACTCATCCATTCACTCACTCATCCACTCACTCACTCATCCACTCACTCATTCACTCACTCATTCACTCATCCACTCACTCACTCATCCACTACCTCACTCATCCACTCACTCACGCATTCACTCACTCATCCACTCACTCACTCATCCACTCACTCATACACTTACTCACTCATTCTCTCATTTCATCCACCTACTCATCCACTCACTAATCCTTCCACTCACTCATCCACTCATAAACTCACTCACTCATCCACTCACTCATCCCAGTGCAAGTTAATTGTGTGGGGGTCTCTTTATTTGTTTATTAATTTGTAGATTTAATTTCCTTGGCGGTGGCTGTGCAGAGGATTTGGTCCTCGTGTTTAATGAATGAACAGCGTTGCGGGATGCAGTGAGCACGAATGACACTGTAAACAACGACATTGCTGTTGTTGTTTGTGTTTTGTATTTTTTTTTATTGTAGAATCGACAATACAAGTGTTACGATGCCACTGTCCTACATTTATACTTTTAAAAATTCATATTATTGTTGTATATCTCCCACAACCCATAACACCACAAGAGTAAAATAAATTGCAGTTACTATTGCTAATCACTGCACCACTATCAATTAGACCACCCAGTGTATAAACACATCCCAGTTCACCATTGCTAATAACTGCACCCCTATCGATTACACCACCCAGTGTATAAACACATCCCAGTTCACCATTGCTAATAACTGCACCCCTATCAATTACACCCCAGTGTATAAACACATCCCAGTTCACCATTGCTAATAACTGCAACCCTATCAATTACACCCCAGTATATAAACACATCCCAGTTCACCATTGCTAAACACTGCACCCTATCAATTACACCCCAGTGTATAAACACATCCCAGTTCACCATTGCTAATAACTGCACCCCCATCAATTACACCACCCAGTGTATAAATACATCCCAGATCACCATTGCTAATCACTGCACCCCCATCAATTACACCACCCAGTGTATAAATACATCCCAGATCACCATTGCTAATCACTGCACCGCTACACTACAGTCACACTCCTCTGGCAGGGTGAATACATCCACGTTGGCTTCACACACGCACAGAGCGGTACCTATTTTATCAACCCCCCTCTAGCCCCTAGAAAGGTTGTGATGATTGTTTACGCTCAGCCCCCCCCCCCACGTTCCGACTGACAGCCACCAGCCAGTCGAGTGGCGGTGACGAGGGTGCCTGGCGCCTTGGCGTCTGCCCTCTGCGCTGTTCGCGTTCACCTCTCTCAGGACGCACCACTCAGATCCACGATCCTCACTGAGTCACCAACTTTATAGTGCAACATCACAAGGCCCATAACCCCCAACCACCCCACTCCCAGCCCCACTCCCAGCCCAGGGTGTAGGGGCTGAGTGAAAGTTTTATCAAACGAGTGCAACAGCGCCATGGAGTCTGCGTTGTAAAACGACAGCAGCCCCGCGTCCCAGTCCAGGTGGACGCCAACTCTCCGAGGAGGCTCCGGGACCAACAGTGACGTCACTACCCCGCCATGCCACACTGAGAATCTGGAGCCACGTTTCTGTAGACACCAGGAGGCGTCGCTCTCTCCCAGGCCGCACTCATCACCATCCCCTCTCCGTGGGATCGTCGCGTACGCGACTCCAACCCGACACCACTCCGCATTCCCCACGTCCACCTCCCAGTAGTGCTGACCCGACGAGAAGCTCTCAGAGCACAGGGATTGTCGCCAGCCATCAAAGCGGTGTGGGTGATGGGGGCGACCCTGGGGGACATCGCTCCACGTCACCGTCCTGAGATCCGAGGAAATCCGGAGGCCGTCGTGGGCCGAGTTTGCGTCCAGAGTCGGTGAGCGTCCATCTGTGGCGAGGACAGCGAAGACGCCCGCACAGCGGTCACGGCGACGCGTGCGCAGTAGCGGCACGAGCAGTGCACGTGGCGTGTACACACAGACACGTGGTGTGTACACACACACAGACACGTGGTGTGTACACACACACACACAGACACGTGGTGTGTACACACACACAGACACGTGGCGTGTACACACACAGACACGTGGCGTGTACACACACACAGACACGTGGTGTGTACACACACACAGACACACGTGGTGTGTACACACACACAGACACACGTGGTGTGTACACACACACACAGACACGTGGTGTGTACAACAACAACCGCCATTCGCCACTAAGTGGCGGTGACGTCACCACGACGCTTGTGCCAGGCTATGTGCACCCTGAGGCCACGTGAAGTGTCGAACGCCCGCTGGCAGGAGGTCACGGGGCAGACCCAGGTGCCACGGGTCGACTGAGATAACTTTGCCGATGCACCGCCCTGCGCCCCCTACTGCGCCAACACACAGACACGTGCAGATTTAGACAGGCACGCACACAATGTGGGTACTTAAGATACTTTGCCTCTTCGTACGGAGTCACGAGACACCACCTGTGCCCCCTACTGTGCCAACCTGCTGTGCTTTAGCCACCCGGCGCTCCGCTCGCTGTTGTGAGCGTCGCTCCTCCGCCCTCCGTTGTTGTTGGAGGGCGACTGCCTCCAACTGCCCAGTAGCATCCTTCACGAGCCTCCTCCACAGAGGCCGATCTTGACACCGCTGGTACCAGTCATCGGCAAGTCCACTCAGCTCCACGTCCTCCTGTACCACATCACTCCATCTCTTCTCTAGCCCGTGCCGCGCCCGCTTAGCCCCCTCAATCCGGCCAAACAAAAGCTGTTTCGGCATGCGGTGGCTGGGCATGCGGGCTACATGACCCAGCCATCGCAGCCTTGCCTGCCGGAGGAGCTCACCGATGGAACCCTGCCCAGATCTTTCAAGGATTTGTGAGCTCCTCACACAATCCAGTCTGGTTAAACCCAGGATGGATCGTAGGCAGGCCAGCCTAAATGTTTCCAACTGGCGAAGGTGCTCCATTAAGGGGGTCCACGTTTCGCAAGCGTAGAGAAGGGAGGGAATGACCGTGGCCGAGAAGACCTGAAGCTTAGTGCAGAGCGACAGACCAGGTAGCTTCCACACAGCGTTACGGAACCGATGAAAATATTTTGCTGCTCGACTGAATCGGAATAAGACCTCTGCTGTTAAACCGGAGCTGGTCATAAGCACACTGCCCAGGTATGGGAAACTCTCCACTCTCTCCAAAACTGCCCCATCACCGATTGGGATTTTTGGGGGTGGAGTGTCCGATGGTACAAAATAGCTAGGCAGGTGCTTAGTTTTGGTGGGGCTGATGGTAAGGCGCCACCTCTTAGTGGCATGCTCCAGTGTACAAAGACAAAAATCCCCCGTATAGCCATAACAGACTGTAGGGGCAAGTGCTGTTAGCGAGCACCTATGAAGGCCGCAACGGTACACGAGGGGGTGGGTGGCCAGCACCACGCCCGACCGCCTTTGTCTCCCCAGTGGCGATGTTTACACACTGCACCAGGTAGTCATTTGAGGCTGAGTCGACTTAGGGGAAGCCCAGGACCGGTTCAGATAATCGTCACTGGTGTTGGCCATGAGCGAGAATCGAACCTGTGTCGCCGGGTTCATAGCGCAGCACGCTAACCACTACATACCGCTCCAGTGTACAACAACAACCGCCATTCGCCACTAAGTGGCGGTGACGTCAGCACGACGCTTGTGCCAGGCCATGTGCACCTTGAGGCCACATGAAGTGTCGAACGCCCGCTGGCAGGGGGTCACGGGGCAGACCCAGGTGCCACGGGTCGACTGACTGAGATGACTGAGATGACTGGCTGATGCACCACCTGTGCCCCCTACTGTGCCAACTTGCTGTACTTTAGCCACCGGGCGCTCCGCTCGTTGTTGTGAGCGTCGCTCCTCTGTCCTCCGTTGTTGTTGGAGGGCGACTGCCTCCAACTGCCCAGTAGCGTCCTTCACGAGCCTCCTCCACAGAGGCCAATCTTGACACCGCTGGTACCAGTCATCGGCAAGTCCACTCCGCTGCACGTCCTCCTGTACCACATCACTCCATCTATTCTTCAGCTCGTGCCGCGCCTGTTTAGCCCCCTCGATCCGGCCGAACAAAAGCTGTTTCCGCATGCGGTGGCTGGGCATGTGGGCTACATGACCCAACCAACGCAGCCTTGCCTGCCGGAGGAGCTCACCGATGGGACCTTGCCCAGATCTTTCAAGAATTTGTGAGCTCCTCAAACAATCCAGCTTGGTTAAACCCAGGATGGATCGTAGGCAGGCTAGCCTAAATGTTTCCAACTGGCGAAGGTGCTCCATTAAGGGGGTCCACGTTCCGCAAGCGTAGAGAAGGGAGGGAATGACCGTGGCCGAGAAGACCTGAAGCTTAGTGTGGAGCGACAGACCAGGTAGCTTCCACACAGCATTATGGAACCGATGAAAATATTTTGCTGCTCGACTGATTCGGAATGAGACCTCTGCTGTTAAACTGGAGCCAGTCATAAACACACTGCCCAGGTATGGGAAACTCTCCACTCTCTCCAAAACTGCCCCATCACCGATTGGGATTTTTGGGGGTGGAGTGTCCGATGGTACAAAATAGCTAGGCAGGTGCTTAGTTTTGGTAGGGCTGATGGTAAGGCGCCACCTCTTAGTGGCATGCTCCAGTGTACAAAGACAAAAATCCCCCGTATAGCCATAACAGACTGTAGGGGCAAGTGCTGTTAGCGAGCACCTACGAAGGCCGCAACGGTACACGAGGGGGTGGGTAGCCAGCACCACGCCCGACCGCCTTTGTCTCCCCAGTGGCGATGTTTACACACTGCACCAGGTAGTCATTTGAGGCTGAGTCGACCTAGGGGAGGCCCAGGACCGGTTCAGATAATCGTCACTGGTGTTGGCTATGAGCGAGAATCGAACCTGTGTCGCCGCGTTCATAGCGCAGCGCGCTAACCGCTACACTACCGCTCCAGTGTACAACAACAACCGCCATTCGTCACTAAGTGGTGGTGACGTCACCACGACGCTTGTGCTAGGCCATGTGCAACCTTGAGGCCACGTGAAGTGTCGAACTGCCCCATCACTGATTGGGAGTTGTGGGGGTGGAGTGTCCAATGGTACAAAATACCTAGGCAGGTGCTTAGTTTTGGTGGGGCTGATGGTAAGGCCTCATCTCTTAGTGGCACGCTCCAGTCTCAGCAGCAGTGTCTCGAACTCCTCCTCTGAATGAGCAGCTATTACCAAATCATCGGCATACATAACGTGGTTGAGCAATAGGGAGCCATCCCTTGACCGCACCCGGGCATCGATCAGCCTCCCATTATATCTGTACCATATGGAGAATCCCCCGGTACAGCTATTGAAGGCTTCACGAACTACGTGGTCAAAATGGATGTTAAATAATGTGGGAGCCAGAGGACATCCCTGTCGCACCCCAAGGTGTACAGGGAATGGCTCTGACTCCCGGCTACGTAGTTTTACCCGGGCCAGCTCACCATCATGAAGGTCCTTAATGATCGTGAGCAGAGGGTCAGGTACTCCAAAAGTACGAAGAACAACCCAGAGCCCAGGCCTACTGATGGTATCATAGGACTTGACCAGGTCAATAAAGCAGTGATGTAGGTCTTGTTGCATTTCCCTACACCTCTGCTGTAGCAGACAGACAGAAAATATGGCATCTGTGCAGGACCGGCCTTTCCTGAAACCGCATTGGTGCTCCGCAAGCCTCTCCTCAGCGTGCCTGGCAAGGCGATGTTGAATAATCCTTGCCAGGACCTTTCCCGGCACACTGAGAAGTGCGATGCCCCTGTAGTTGTTACAGTCTGTGCGGTCCCCCTTCTGAAAGAGGGGGACCACCAGGGCATCCTTCCAATCCTGCGGAACCCGTCCAGTGGTCCAGACTGTTGTTATGATGTCATGTAGGGCAGTCTGTGCACAACGCCACCCTCCCTCAGCATACACACAGACACACAGACACGTGGTGTGTACACACTCACAGACACACATACACGCTGGTGTTATGTTGTCTGTTGTGTTGTTGTTGGCCTACCGCAGTACGTGATACGTTGATATGTGACACTGTGAGTATCACGTGTATGACACATGCATACAGTACTCATTAGTATTAGTGTACACATACTGGTACTCATTAGTATTTGTGCACTCATACTAATATTCGTTAGTATTAGTGTACACATACTAATATTCGTTAGTATTAGTGTACACATACTAATATTCGTTAGTATTAGTGTACACATACTAATACTCGTTAGTATTAGTGTACACATAGTAATATTCGTTAGTATTAGTGTACACATACTCATATTCGTTAGTATAGTATTGCGTCTCTCTACAAACACGATGCCTGTATAATAGCCACCACAGACATTGTGTCACTCCGTGCGCGTCCTGGGGGGGGGGTTATTTGACCATACTTCACCGCTCTCGTCGGTGCGGCTTGGCGATGGTGGGGATGGTGAACGTAGGAGCGTAGAGGTGCAGTACAACAGTGGTTCACGCTGCGCTGCCCTCTGCTGACCACCCCGTCACAACGGTGTAAAGTTTTCTCTTTAATTAAATTAATTTCGATGCCCGAAAATCTCCAGGTTCTCTGCTGTTGCCCCTCCACATTTAGGAACGCGCGTTCAGAGTACTTAAAGGTGCATTGAAAATTTTGATACTCCGACTGATGCTTCTGTTGTTGTGGAGTAACTCATGCAGCCAGCTATGGCTCTAGGGTTTGGTGTTACATGTTATTTATGTATTTTATTGTAAAAAGTCGGTCACAGTCCCTATGATCACTGTTACGTTGCAATTCTGGCTTCATTTTTTGGTGATTTCGAAAACGTTTTTGGTTTGGACATGTTTGTTTTGTTGTAGTACGGAGTTAGACTGATGGCCTTAATCTAAGTTTTCTTGTGGTTGTTGTTGTTGTTGTTTGACTTGCATCCCACTGGGATTTTTTGCACACAGCGTTGGTGTACGGTGCTTCTTACAGGAATATTTTGCTGGTTTTTTTCATGGATTTTCTGTTTGCACAGTCACAGTCACACATACTCACTTTAAGATGTTTTTCTTGTTCGTTTTTTTTTGTTTGTTGTGGTTGCACCCGATTCAAGAGCCGAATGGCTCACAGGGCTATACCAAAATAAATAAACTGAAAAAAACTTAACTAACTCGGCTGCCGCTATAAATGTCCACACGACGATGACGATGATGAAGACAATACCAACCTCTGCGTAGCGATAGGCGCACTGCGTTATGAACCCGGCGACCCGAGTTCGATTCCACGGCCAATACCGGTGATGATCATCTGAACCGGTCCTGGGCTTCGTTAGGTCGACTCGGCCTCAAATGAGTACCCGGTGCGGTGTGTAAACATCAATAAACACATTTATTAGTTTTAATAATTTGTGCCTATCTACGTGACTTTAGAGAAAGACCCAATGGGTATTAATTCCTGCAGTCACGAAAGTTTTAAGTGGAGGTTACTTAACATTTGGGCTCGCGTTCATCTTCATTCTCACCTCACGGCCACTTTCCTCAATGAACCGTGAACGCACTGCGTCCACGCGTGATGGTGAGCGTCTGAATGAGGGTGACAGGACTGGGACGTGCTTCGTCCGTAGCTTACAAAGTCGCCCTTTTGCTCTCAAGATACGCACTGTCACGTTGCTGTTATTGTTATTTACACCTCTTTATGAGCGAGACCCATCGTGCTGTTGACAATCTTTCACCCAGAACCTCGGTGCCAGTTTGAATGACCTGAATGTACGCAGGTCTCCCTTGCCAAAGGGGTCACGCTTCATGAATGCACTCAAGCCAGGGGTAAAATAAAGAACGACCTCCAAATGGGTAGGATTTGTCGGCAATTCGGGGTCTGTGATGGAGTCTAACGAAGATCGTCGTGGCAGAGGGACGTACCGAGAAAAGGCAGAAGTTTAGTTGGGACGCCGCCCACTGAGATGACTTTTGCGAGGTTCAAACTGCGGGAGACGGGGGATGAGTCATCCTGAGTCTCCTGGGAGATGGAGCTCCTGCACTCACACCGCAGGACACACACATAGTCTAAAGAGGGTCCATGTCTCTCTAGACTCACACCACAGGACACACACAGAGTCTCATAAGGGTCCATTTTCCTCTGCACACACAGGACAGGACACCCAGAGTCTCATCAAGGCTGCAATGTCTCTCTACACACGGGCAAGACAGGCAGTCCTTGACTTATAAACAGCCCGTACTTATGAACCACATTCCATTAAATATTTAAAAAATAACATTGACTTAAAACGCGAACTCGCAATTGCAAGCTGAACCGCAGAACGAATTTGTTCAGATGAGCGATCGTCCACGAGATGTAATGAGTCGGACTCACGCTGGGAGTGAGTGTATGCGTGCGGATGTGTGTGTGTGTGAAACTATGAGTTTAATTTCCTATACAGTATGTTTTTTTTTACAGTGTTAGATGAAAATGTACAACATTTCTTCCTAATTATGAGTTTAACAATGCTTCCCTTTTTGTTGAACCGTAACACATTTTAGAAAACTGACCGTGTCGGCATTTAAATACGGTGCATTATTGTTATCCGACTTACGAACTGTTCGACTTACGAATGAGCCTCAGGAACAAAATACGTGCGTAACCCGAGGACTGCCTCTATGGGATACAATTGACCATATGGTATTACAACTGCATACATTTGGGCTTGTTAGGATTCACATCGCGACCGTTCGCTGATTTGTCCACCAGGTGGCAGACAGAGCTCGGGTTTGAGTCTGGGTTTGCACTGACCTGAGATTCTCATGCAGGGGATCCTGAAAAACATAAAACCCGCATTTCACATTAACATTGATATCCTAAACAGATGCCCAACATCCACACAGTCACCTCCTGTTTACTGTAGAGCCTGACATCAAGGAATTAACAAATACCTACCAACGGAGAATGGTGCAAAACAGGGTTATCTATGGAACCTAATTGCCAATATCGAAATTATGAAACAATTAAGAAGCGGCTTTATCCTTTTTGGAAGTAAAAATAGGAGATGTTTAGATGGTCAAACACCAATCAAATCTTTATTGTAAGGCATCACTGCTCAACCAGAGATATTAATAATTTGATATTTGCAGTCTTTGTACTGTTAAGCCTATTCCTATTTTTTCATAAAAAAACAGGGTTCGTTTAACTGGACAAGGACAGACCCCAACAAATGACAAAGCGACTGTCTGCAGGTCTAGTCGAGCACCTAAACAAATGGTTAGATAATCTTCAACAACTCCTGTTTTTTTAACTCTGAATAAACTCAACTTTTTATTTAGCAGGTAAGGACCACTTGGCTATGTCGCTCTTGTTCAGTAGCGAGCTGCCAATCGCAAACGACGGCTCAACGTGACTGGCTCATGTGGACATTTATAATAACAGCCAAATACTCTGAATTCGTGATGTTGATTCTAAATGTGGAGGGAAAAACCCAGAGGACACGCTTCCACGAGGAGAGAGAGAGACGCAAACTCCAAATCTACAGTAGGCTTCAGCTTTGGTATCGAACCCACGACCTCCTGCATCCCAGGCGAGGTAGTAAACATCTCCTAGCCACCGCGGCAAGTGAATGGAGGTGGTGCCACCTGCAGGAATGAGAGCGGGTCCTGCACGGCGAGGGCCACAAGCAGCTGGTTGATCTCCCGCTCCAGTCCGCGTGCTCTGATCTCGTAGCGAGCGATGTCCGCCTGGATGCAGGACAGCGCGGAGCGGCCCTCCTCGTCAACGCGCTCCAGCGCCTCCCTCTCCTCCTGCCTCAGCCGCTCCCTCCGGCGCTCAAACTCTCGGCTGATCCGCGCCCTGGTCCCACGCAGAGACTCCTGCATGGAGATATTCGACGGCGCGCTCCCGAAACGCAGCACGATGCGACTTTGTTCAGGACTTCGACACGGCCAAGGTCTCGTGACTCCGTACGAAGAGGCAAAGTATCTTAAGTACCCACATTGTGTGCGTGCCTGTCTAAATCTGCACGTGTCTGTGTGTTGGCGCAGTAGGGGGCGCAGGGCGGTGCATCGGCAAAGTTATCTCAGTCGATCCGTGGCACCTGCTGGGTCTGCCCCGTGACCTCCTGCCAGCGGGCGTTCGACACTTCACGTGGCCTCAACATGCACATAGCCTGGCACAAGCGTCGTGGTGACGTCACCGCCACTTAGTGGCGAATGGCGGTTGTTGTTGTTGCTGTGTGTATCTGTGTGTGTGTCTGTGTGTGTGTAAGTGTATGTCTGTGTTTGTGTATGTGTGTCTCTGTACCTGGATGCGATTGTAGTCACCCCTGAGCTGCTGTGTCCGTGATTCTGCCATAGTCTTCTTCTTCTCTCTCCCCGCCATCTCGCGTCTGAGCGCCTCCTATACACGGGGTAGACAAATACGCGGTGTTTGGTGACTCCCATCATTGTCATCATCATCTGGCCCATTGTTTTCAACCCGGAGCCTTGCAGGTAGGTTTCCTGGAGCGCCCAGAGATAATCATCACCCCTTTGAAACCTCCAAGACCACCTCGTCAGCTTTCGGTAGGCAGAACAACAGTCCTGTCCAGGTAGGTGGCCGGATCACAGCGAGGTTTATTGAAGGGGTGCCCCACTCGCACGCTCGAGTTTTCTCCAGTTTTGCCAAACAATGGAATCCAGCAGAACCAATCATCATAACCCCCTCCCCGCCCGAGATATCCACCGCGCGCACTTTGCACGCCAACGTTCGGTCACGGAATGCAAATACGCGGCGTCCATGTTAGAGGCGGTGTTTCGTTTTTCACACGAACTCTTGTAACAGAATCAAATATAAATCTGCCCCAAACGACGATCGAACCATTCCCGACGACCTAGCCTCTTCCAATGGAGTGGTCTTCCATTTGCCTCTTTGTGAGTCCACGGTCAGTGCACTTTTGAAGCGTTTCACGTGTGAAGCGTCTCTCGTTACTCCACATTTCTCTCATTGGTACTCGCCACGTACGAATCTTATCACGCCAAGTGTATTTTACAGCTTTGCCAGCCATGCGACAAAGCTCTGTCTTATCACTAAACCTCGGAACACCCAGCTTTGCCATCTGTTCAGAACAACATGGCCACCTTCCGTGTCTCTGCTGTCTATCGTGTGCCAGTTTTTCACACTCATTGTTGCCTAAAGTGATTTGATTGGCCGTCACAATGCTGACACAACAGGACTTACCTCATAATGTGCAAATATAAATGATAAAATACAGACTCTCTATATTCTGGGGTCTTTCGCTAAAGTCACGTAGATAGAACAAAATAATAAAAATAAAATATCACGACGTTTCGATCACAACACAAGCAATCGTCATCAGGAGAAAAAAGTATTTAAGTCAAGCTACAGTCTCTCTAGTTTAACAATGAACAGTGTTCTGCAGTCACACTGCGGGATATTGGATGATAGCAGCGATTTATATCTCACCTGTCTTGTCTTTTGTACATTTTCCACTGTAACGACCTCATGCCCTCTATGTTCCCTAGCAACAGTAAAGAACGAGCTCCTGTCGGTGCTGCCGGCGCTGTCGCCCCGCCAGGTTCGCGATGGGATTCTCTACGTGAGGCACAATTACGATTTTTTCATGACATGTTGTGCAGCCCGGTGACAGCATTTGGTCAGCTTGTGTTTTCAGTTTTCAGTCTCATTCATTTGGAATAACCCTGTGAGCCATTCGGCTCTTGATTCGGGTGCAATCGCAACAAACATACAAATTACAAGATGCATTTAAAATTTACTGCACGCAAATTGTAACATCCCCTACAAAAGCAATAAAAGCACCACTTGTTTATGCTGCGTAGAAAAATGTGCAAAATCCCATTTTGATGTAAGATCACAATAACAATCACAATACAATTTAGATTAAAATTCTAAGTGTAACTCTATACCACATCAAACAAATATTGCTGAACTATGAGCACATATCTTAGCTCACATTTGTTTTTTGAAACAATGAGATCCAGCAGGTAATCTGCGGATTTTTTGTAAGTACATTGTAAATAAATAATATCTGATGCACAAGCCGCCGATCATTAAGAGATGTTAAGTTTGACCCAATGTAGAGATCGCAGTGGTGGGTCCTATATGGGCAGTTCGATGCAAATATTAAGGCCGAGTGATATAGTGTCTCGCTCTGAGGGCCTCACCTTCCGTGTCTCCTGCTCCTCCTGCAGCGTCAGGACCCTGTGTCCTGTGTGTTCACCTGCGATGGTGCAAGTTGAGCAGACCAGGCTGCTGTCTACTGTGCAGTAGAATTCCAGCTCCTTTCTATGCCAAGGACATCGTCGCTCCTCCAGGTTCGCGATGGGAGCCACCAGGACGTGGTCTCTCAACCTGGGATTCTCCACGTGAGGCCTCAAGTGCGTCGCACAGAAGGACATCTCACATCTCAGGCAGCTCCTCACTGCAGTGTTCTGGCCGCCGCTGCAGTGGTCACACGCGACGGCCGCGGCCATCCCGTCCCCAGCTCTGAGCTGCTCAGCCAGGTTTGGCGAGGGGCCACGTTCCTCCTCAGCTGGGGTCGCACAGGGAACGCCGCTCGGCACCGCGGGCAGCTGAAGCCGCTCGACGTCTCCCGGGCGGCCTCCAGGCACCGCGGGCAGAACGAGCGGCCGCAGTTCAGCGTGGAGGGGCGGACGAACGCCTCCAGTCAGATGGAGCAGCACAGCAGTGGCAGCTCGCTATCCACACTCTCGCTGGGAGTCGCGCTCGCCGTGACTCATGGGCTGCGCTGGGATCAGACGTAAAAAGGAAGTAAAATACTTTCATTAGTCGTCACTGACACCACGAGACACCGCCTGGAATGTGAACCCGCACCCCTGGTGCACAAACGGTAGCCTCAAGGGATACCGTAACACACCTTTACGTGAACAAAATGTATCGGAGGGACTTACTCGTTAAAACAAATATTTACGTTTAAGGAAATGAGTTGTCGATGTTGTTAATGTAAATCGGTGAGGCTCAGCTGCGGTGGCTCATTCATGAGATGAGCGCACAAGTTGGTGTCTGTGGTGAGACAGAGCAATGGATGTGGTGCCACGGTGGCTATGAGATGTTATCTGCCTTTCCCGGTATACAGGATGTCGTTGGTTTGATCCCGACGCTGACGTCTGCTGCATATTTGGAGTTTTCAGGTCTCTCTCTCTCGCTCTCTCCCCGTAGCCGCGTGGATTTTTATTTAATCTGTGTCCTCCGATTTTTCTTCTCCACGTTTAGAATCGGCATCACGCGCTTGGAGTATTTGGCTGCAATCAATTTCCACATCGGCCGCTTCGTTGAGCGATCATCCGTGACAGGCAGGTCGCTTCAGAAAAAGGGCCACATAGCTCAGTGAGCCTTACCTGGCAAGTTTGTAGATATCTCATCATGTGCTGTAACTCCATCTTCCGTGTAACTACGCCTAACGTGACGAGTTGCTTGAAGGTCACCGTGGCGTCCGAGATTGAATTTGTCCGTAGACTCACGTGACCCATCCTAGAATGTTGAGCCTTTTGCCCGCAGTGTGAATCTGAAGCCCACTCGACCCTGCCTCCATCCAGGGCTGGATTAATATTTTGTAGGCACCCTGGGATACAGGTACTGTGAGTGCCCTGCCCCCCCCCCCCCCCCCCCCCCCGCCCAGCAATATTTTCCAAAGGAAAACCAAGTTAAAGAAACAATTTTATGTTTTTTACAAGGCTAACGACAAATCAAATTCAGCATTCACAAACGAAATAACTTTTCACTTAACCTCTGGAGGCGCTCCAGCTGGAGGAGGCCCCTGAGCTGCAGCCCCTAAAGCCCCCAATACCTTGATCCGTCACGATGACGCTTGTGCCAGGCTATGTGCACCTTGAGGCCACGTGAAGTGTCGAATGCCCACTGGCAGGAGGTCACGGGGCAGACCCAGGTGCCGCCAGTCGACTGACTGAGATGACCGAGATGACTGGCTGATGCACCACCTGTGCCCCCTACTGTGCCACCCGACGATCCGCTCGTTGTTGTGAGCGTCGCTCCTCCGCTCTCAGTTGTTGGAGGGCGACTGCCTCCAACTGCCCAGTAGCATCCTTCACGAGCCCACTCCACAGAGGCTGATCTTGACACTGCTGGTATCAGTCATCGGCAAGTCCAATCAGCTCCACATCCTGCTGTACCACATCACTCCATCTCTTCTCTAGCCCATTCTGCGCCCGTTTAATCCCCTCGATCTGGCCAAACAAAAGCTGTTTGGGCATGCGGTGATTGGGGATGCGGGATACTTGGCCCAGCCAACGCATCTTTGCCTGCCGGAGGTGCTCACCAATGAGACTTTGTCCAGATCTTTCGAGGATTTGTGAGCGCCTCACTCAATCCAGCCTGGTTAAACCCAGGATTGTCGTAGGCAGGCCAGCCTAAATGTTTCTAACCGGCGAAGATGTTCCATTAGAAGGGTCCATGCTTCGCAAGAATCGAGAAGGGAGGGAATGGCTGTAGCCGAGAAGACCCGAAGATTTGTGCGGAGCGACAAACCAGGTGGCTTGCACACAGCATTACGCAACCGATGAAAAGAGAATGCCGCTCGACTGATTCGGAGTGAGAGCTCTGCTGTTAAACCGGAGCCGGTCATGAGCACACTGCCCAGGTAAGGGAAACTCTCCACTCTCTCCACAAGTGCCCCATCACCGATTGGGAGTTGTGGGGGTGGAGTACCCGATGGTACAAAATACCCAGGAAGGTGCTTTTTTTTGGTGGGCTGATGGTAAGTCTCCACCTCTTAGTGGCACACTCCAGTTTCAGCAGCACCTCCAACTCCTCCTCTGAGTAAGCTGCAATTACCAGGTCGTCAGCATGGTTGACCAATAGGGAGCCATCCCTTGACCGCACCCGGGCATCGATCAGCCTCCCATTGTATCTGTACCAGATGGACATGCCTCCGGTACAGATACTGAAGGTTTTACGAACTACGTGGTCAAAATAGATGTTAAATAATGTTGGAGCCAGAGGACAACCCTGTAGCACCCCAAGGTGTACAGGGAATGGCTCTGACTCCCGGCCACGTAGTTTTATCCTGGCCTGCTCACCATCATGAAGGTCCTTAATGAGCATGAGCAGAGGGTCAGGGACTCCTAAAGCACGAAGAACAACCCAGAGCCCAGGCCTACTGATGGTATCATAGGCCTTGACGAGGTCAATGAAGCAGAGATGTAGGTCTTGTTGGAATTCTCTACACCTTTGCTGTAGCAGACGGACAGAAAATATGGCATGTGTGCAGGACTGCCCTTTCCTGAAACCACATTGGGGCTCCGCAAGCCTCTCCTCAGCGTGCCTAGCAAGGTGATGCTGAATAATCCTTACCAGGACCTTTCCTGGCGCACTGAGGAGTGAGATGCCCCTGTAGTTGTTACAGTCTGTGTGGTCCCCCTTCTTAAATATGCGGACCACCAGGGCATCCTTCCAATCCTGCGGAACCCATCCAGTGGCCCAGACTGTTATTATGATGTCATGTAGGGCAGTCTGCGCACAAACGCCACCCTCCCTCAGCATTTTGCTTGGGAGATCGTCTCTGCCCGGTGCCTTTCCTGGTCTCAGACTGGATCGCCTTCACTACTTAATCAACAGATGTCACCTCAGCCAGCCACTCACAGGGGGTGACTTCCTCCTCCAATATTTGAGGCACCGCAGCCTGAGCAGGGTCATATCCACTTTGTCCAATGATGTTTTCCAGGCTGAGGGATTCCCCCTCCTCCAGGACCTCACATATATGCTCAGAAAATTTGCAAACCTGTTCCTGGGGGTCGGAGTTTGGACCACCGCTCTTTCTGCTCATGATGGTAATAGGTGTGGTGCTACAGGTTACTTTTATGATGGAGTTAAATAGGGATTTGTGATCGTGGGCCATTTAGGCAGACTCCATTTCCTCAGTAACCCGCGACCACCATCCATCCTTGCAGCACCTCACGGCTCTCCGAACCTCCGAGCGAAGGCTGCGGTAATCCTCCTCATTCTCTGACATGGGATGCTGAAGACGATGAGAGTGGGCCTGTTGCTTTTTCTCAACCATCCTGAACATTCCTCTGTCAGCCATGGTCTCTGGGGAGGTCTGGACTGCGTACCCAAAGCAGCCATTACAGCTGCATGAGTCACGGTCCTAAACCTCGCACATTTACCCTCAACATCAAGAGGAGTGGGGGACGATGCCAACCCTAGCCGCAAGCAATGATTAAATTATCGCTTGCAACTTCCATCAGCTAGCTGAGACCAGACCACCTTAGCTTGCAATGGGGTCCTGGGTGCACACCCACCACCGGAGTTGAAGAAAGGCAGGCGCGTCTTACAGATGACAAGACGATAGTCAGAGGGCAGATCTGCTCCATGGTAGGTCCTGGTGTCAAGGACATGGGCTCGCATCTGCTGGTCCGTCACTATATAGTCCAGCAGATGTTCTTGCTTGGAGCCGGCATGCATCCATGATTTTGTGTGGATGCGCCGATGCTGGTACAGCGTGTTGGTAATTACAAGCCCATGGGCTGCACAAAAATCTAGAAACATCCTATCGTTGATATGGAGCTGATCTGGCCCTTGCCTTCCAATCACTCTAGACCAGGTGCCAGCATCATGACCAACTCAGGTATTGAAGTCATAGAAGGCATCTGACTCATCGGCCTTACCTGCATCCCTCCACGGATGTTACAGACACACACACAGACACACACAGACAACAACAACAAAAACCGCCATTCGAAACTAAGTGGCGGTGACGTCACCACGACGCTTGTGCCAGGCCGTGTGCACCTTGAGGCCATGTGAAGTGTCGAACGCCCGCTGGCAGGAGGTCACGGAGCAGACCCAGATGCTACGGGTCGATTGACTGAGATGAATGGCTGATGCACTACCTGTGCCCCCTACTGTGCCAACTTACTGTGCTTTAGCCACCCGGTGCTCCGCTCATTGTTGTGAGCGTCGCTCCTCCACCCTCCGTTATTGTTGGAGGGCAACTGCCTCCAACTGCCCAGTAGCGTCCTTCATGAGCCTCCTCCACAGAGGCCGTTTTTTGACACTGCTGGTACCAGTCATCGGCAATTCCACTCAGCTCCACATCCTCTTGTACCACATCACTCCATCTCTTCTCTTGCCCGTGCCGCGCCCGTTTAGCCCCCTCGATCCGGCCGAACAAAAGCTGTTTATGCATGCCGTGGCTGGGCATGCGGGCTACATGGCCCAGTCAATGCAGCCTTTTCTGCCGGAGGAGCTTACCAATGGGACTTTGTCCAGATCTTTCAGGGATTTGTGAGCTCCTCACACAATCCAGCCTGGTTAAATCTAGGATGGATCGTAGGCAGGCCAGCCTAAATGTTTATAACCGGCGAAGATGCTCCATTAGGGGGGTCCATGTTTCGCAAGCGTAGAGAAGGGAGGGAATGACTGTGGCCGAGAAGACCTGAAACTTAGTGCGGAGCGACAGACCAGGTAGCTTCCACACAGCGTTACGCAACCGATGAAAAGATATTGCTGCTCGACTGATTCGGAGTGAAACCTCTGCTGTTAAACCGGAGCCGGTTATGAGCACACTGCCCAGGTATGGGAAACTCTCCACTCTCTCCACAACTGCCCCATCACCAATTGTGAGCTGTGGGGGTGGAGTGTCCGATGGTACAAAATACCCAGACAGGTGCTTAGTTTTGGTGGGGCTGATTTTATGGCCCCACCTCTTAGTGGCAAGCTCCAGGTTCAGCAGCAGCGCCTCCAACTCCTCCTCTGAGTGAGCAGCAATTACCAGATAACATGGCTGAGCAATAGGGAGTCATCCATTGACTGCACTCAGGCATATATCAGCCTCCCATTGTATCTGTACCAGATGGAAATTCCTCCGGTATAGGTATTGAAGGCTTCACGAACTACGTGGTAAAAATATATGTACAGGGAATGGCTCTGACTCCCGGCCACTTAGTTTTACCCGGGCCTGCTCACCATCATGAAGGTCCATAATGATTGTGAGCAGAGGGTCAGGGACTCCGAAAGCACGAAGAACAACCCAGAGCCGAGGCCTATTGATGGTATCATAGTCCTTGACCAGGTCAATAAAGCAGAGATGTAGGTCTTGTTGGAAT